GAACATCTACAGTACTCCACAAGAACCTCTTTGAAAATCTATGTATTTTAGCTATAAAAGGTGTATACAAAACAAGATGGTGGGGATGAGAGAAAAAGTATTTTTTATAATTTTTCACATGTCGCAGTTGCAGACCTTTTGTACCTACGTACCCCCTTCATGAAATAGAGGATCAGGGTACTCATAGTTCACCTCAAAAATTTTAAAACACATGTGTGTTGGTTAATTTTAAGAGAAAATACATTATCGTCATATCCGAGTGGAAAACATACTTACTACCCACAATTATGAGAAATGAGCATTTGATTCATCTCAAAGTGGAGGACATAGCTTGGATTTAAAATCACCAAGACATCACTTAACACCCAAGTGGAAAATATCTCACTTCACTACATATCGTAGAAGTATAGTAGCTTGCATCACTACAAGAATCAACAAGAGTCTAATCTTTTGAGAAATATATTTTTTTAAATAAAAAGCTAAAGCGGAAAAAAAATGGTTTGAGTGAGGTTAATGACTTTTAGTATGGAAAAAGATGTCAAAGTATGATTAAATTGATTAAAGGTTTGATTGAGAAAAATAATTTGAAAATGCATGGACCTAAGTCCAAATTTATTATGAAAGTGGTTCAAGTTTGAAAACAAAAATAGTTTTAAAAAAGGGAGAAGATTTTGAAAATTAAAGAAGATAGGAGGAGATGAAGAGACTATCCTATGTACACAAAGTAAAAGCTAAGGAGAAGAACGATCTAACCAACAAGAAGCCCACATTTGACATAAAGAATTCAATATAGAATTCCCATCCTTTGGATTAAAACCAAGCAATCAAAATACTAAACCTCATATGAATACCAAGCTTTAGATGAATAAAGAACCAAGCAAAGTCTCCAAGAAAAAATGACTATAGTAAATACTGTATATAGAGGAATTCCCAATCACAGACAAAGCATAGATATCTGAATAACCTACACACAGAAAATATTCAAACCAATGCCTTGGAGTAAACTCCAAGGACTTTAGAACAACTTCACAAAAATATCACATTAAAGATCACAAAGTTTCAAGTTTTTAAGGTTTCCAATCCTAGATCTTCAAGAATCCACAACTCCACAAGGCTAGGGATAGTAACCAGATAGTCCAAGTAGCTTTAAGGATTTTAATTTTCAAGTTGATTATTAGTATATTTACAAAAGAAAATAAAGCTCAAGTGAGCAAAGATGAAAAAACAGAAAGTAAATACTCAAGTGAGCAAAAGGAAAATAGCATGAGATGTAAATGCTAAAGGTAAACGACATAAAGTAAAGACATAAAATGAATGCATAAAGTAAAAGCATAAAGTAAAGTCAATGGTTAATAGTCAATGGCTAGAAGTTAGTGATTAATAGTTGTGGGTTGAATGTTTTTTAGAAGAGTGATCCATTATGATTTGAACATTGAGTCTAGGTCAAAGTTGATGAAGACTCATTAGTGTATTGATAGAATCAAAGCCTCCTAACAATGAGCTTTCAAGGTTATTAGCCATAGCTCAATATTTAATCATCTTTGGGCTTACAAACACAAAGTTTGAACCACTAAGGATTAGTCAAATAAAAGATGAAAAAGGGAGGATTCCAAACGATATGATCCATGATGGTTTGAACCTTGAAAATAGGTTAATGCTAATGAAGACTCATTAGAGGATTGATAGAATCAAAGCCTCCTAATAATGAGCCATCAAGGTTATTGGCCATAGCTCAACACTTTACCATACTTGGGCTTGCAAACATCAAGTTTGGGCTATTAAGAATCAATCAATAGGAAAGAAGAAAAGATATGAGATGAAGGGGAAAAAGGGAAATCACAGTATAACCAATATCTCAGATGAATTGAAATTAGGGTTTCAAATATCACCAACATGATTCATCCATTTTGATGGATTTGGTTTTCCAACCTATCAACACCCAAGATCCAATGAGGTTAAGGAACTTGTCCCAAAGTAACACTCAAGTGTCTCCAAATCAGAAGCAATCATAAAAATAATAAAATATATATTTAATATAAATTAATAAAAACAATATTTAAATGATTAATAAAAAGGAGTAATTGTTAAAATACACAAAGTACATTAAAACACCAAATAAAAATCTCAAAAAAAAAATTAGAGGTCAATCATGAGTCAACAAGTGTTGACAATTTTTTTTAGAATTCTTAAATGTCAGGAACTATTTTTTAAAATACAAAACTTAATAAAAATAAACCAAAAATAACAAAAAGTAGTAAAATCAGAAATAAAAATTAAACAAGGTCATCAATATTTGTCAAAATATCATTGGATCCTTCCATAAAATTTTCAAAATTTTAAAAGGTCAAAAAGTATTTTTAAAATAATTATAACAAAACAAATAAAGAGAAAAATCATAAAAAATATCAAATCTTAAAATAAGATTTCAAAAAAATAAGAATCATAAAGATAATATTTTAAAATATTTTTGTGAATTTTTTCATGATTTTCAAGTCAGAAATGAATTTTTTACGAATTTTTGAAGTTTAAAAACAAATAAAATAAGTATAAAAAAATAAAACAAAAAACCAAAAAAATATGGACCATTTGATCATTGTCAAAACGCATTAGTAAGCAGATCTGAGGGACCTGACGCGCTGTGCATGTTACGATCTTTATTGTAAAACACACAGGATCATTAATAAAACTAGATTTTATAAAATAACATAAAAAAATAGGCCATCTGATCAAAGTCAAAACGCGTTAGTAAACAGATCCAAGGGACCTGGCACGATGTGCTTGATATGGACTCTAGTGAATAAAGCACTATATCAATTATTTAAAAAAGTATTTAAAAATAAGTGGCGCGATATCATTGGTTGAAGACGGCTCGCTGGTCATCTTCAACCTCCAGCCACACGCGAGTTACAGGTTTTACAAATGGTAAAATTGGAAGCTCAGACCGGTGTCATTCGGTTCGTCTCATCAATAAGAAAACAACCATGCCCTCGCGCCAAATTTATTTAACTTATAACTCTCTCGATTTGAAGAAAACCAGAAGAAAATTTGAAAAAGGAATTTGGAAACAGATGATCAAAACTCAGCTACTGTTGAAAACAAATGATGCAATGAGCATCAGAGAGTCAAATGCTACATTATAGCAACAAATTTTGAACAGATTGATGGAGAATTATACCTGTTGAAGTTCAACTTCACAACTCTGAAAAATTGAGCTCAATAACTTGAATCAGTGCATGATTCTCTTTGTTCTTGAGTTGGTTAGCTTCACTGAATGATGATGAAGCTAACTGAGTGTAGCTTTTGAGTGTTTGAAGGGTGGAAAGAAGAAAATGAAGTTCAAGCTCAAGAGTTCGTATGGGATCTTGGCATGGCTTGATTGGCTATCAAAAGCTTGGCCAAATGAGTGAAATATGTTATGTATTTATAGGAGAAGTGAATGGAATCAAGAGAAGGGGTGAATGATACAATTTTAGTTAAAATAGTGCACACCCGTGGTCATGAAGAAAGTGTGATCACATGTGCATAAAAACTCATCCAAATGATGCATTTTGACACTTTAAATGCTCCAACCATCTTTGCTAATCGTGTTTAATTGAAAATGAGGTGGTAATTTTGTGATTAGAACCCACATTTCACAAATTCACTTTTGACTTCAAGTGATATTTTAATTTTTAAAGCATCAACTTACAACCATGGTGTTGCACCCTAAAATTTACCCTCTTGATTTCATAATTTTTATGGCTTATGTTTCATCATACGTATTCATCTATTGTGACGGGCGCAAGGTATTATTATCTTCCTGGTTTTCTTCAAGCTTTAGAATTTGGTTGTATTGGCAACCAGTCCAAGATGGATCTCATATCTTCATTCTTTTGTCCATTCAAGCTACCAAGGTTTCTCATGCCTCGAAACATCTCAACCGATTCTTGGGCTCATCAGGAGATTCAGAATTGCAAGTTTTTTGAAGTGGATCATGTTTTTTTCCTATCTTTTGGTTTGTGTGTTAGGGTTTTGATTGCTTAATTTCTTCGGAAAAAAAAAAAGAAAATATCATTCTTAAGGTTAATGATTAAGGAGAATTTCTGGTTTCTAAGATCAAATGAATATTTGGTTACTTGTTGATATGATTTTTGAGTTAAGTGGTGAAGTTGTGATTTCAAATGGGGACATCTTTTGGCTTTTATTACTTGATAAAGGAATTTTGGTTTTACTTGATATCTTTAAGAGCATTGTTCCTTTACTTGATTCATGGTGAAGTTTGATGCAAGACACGTTCATGATTCTGGGGAAGGTCTTATGGTTTCAACAAAGATTTTATCTTTTGTATTGATTTTCAAACTTGAAGTCATGTGTAATTTGATTTTGGACTTAATGTGGTAGGAAGCCCATTTCCTATGATATCCTTTCTCACTACAAAGTTCACTAAGGCATCACCACTTTGAGTGATCATTAAAATATTTTCTTTGAACTTAGGAGAGTTTGGATTTAGTATTGTTTTCATAATGGACATCAAAACTTTTGAACTCTAATTTAGAATAACAAAAGAGTTTTGTACTTGGTACAAATAAGCAAGTTCATGTTTGCTTATGAATTAAAATTTGGTTTTTTAATTACAAATATGGAGGTTTCTTTTTATCTCAAGTTTCAAAGCTTCACTTATTATCTCAAATTCACTTTCAAGAATCCAAATTACATTTTTCATAAAAGTTTCAATATCAATTGGAATCAAATTCAAATATGGGGAGTTTTCTATTTGACATCTCAATATTGAACCTTAAAGGACTACAAAACTTCATATTGTTCCAAATTGTTAAAGATTCGTCGAATGTTACAAAGAGGAGTTAAAGTTTGCCCAAAATTTAAAATGTCATTCAAGATTTCAAGAGTGCATAGTCCTAAGTTCCAAACTACTTCCTAATGTTACATATACATTCATTCTTCTATGGCCTAATCACAAGTTCCTATACCTAAGTGTCTTTTTTATATCACCAATTCTATTCATGTTACAAGTTTGTCTTTTTATTCTCCACTTCAAGTATGGTCGTGGTACACCATTGATTCCTTCAAGTCTTCCTCATTCATGTCTCATTACCATTGTTACAACAGATGAAATAGAAAGAAGAAGATGGTTAGCAAATAATCAACACTTGAACATAAGCATGAATTTTCAAATAAGTTTCTTTTCAAGTTCATCATTAGGGTTGTGAAAGGAATCAAAATTCTAGGGATTAATTCAATCATTATGGAGCCCAACAACAACCAAGGCCTTATACAAGTTGTTTCACAACAAATTCAGAATTTCATTTCAAGTCATGGGCCTATCTCCTCTATTGAAAATCACAAAAGACCATTTTGGTTCACAAAAAGAGGTTCAAAAATACAAATGGATGTCGCATTTCTAGCTTAACAAATCATCACAGTCTGGACAAATCAGAATTCACTCATGTTTGCAAAAATAACAAAAAAAGCTTCATACAAAATCAGATTTAATCACAGTCCCATTTCTCGTACTGCAAATCTCAAGCAAAAAATCACTAAAAAGAGTTTCACTTTGTTCACAATAAAAGAATTACAAAGTGCACTAACACAGGATTGTACATAAATATCATAACTCAGCCCAACATCATCAAGATGCACATATCAGTAAAAGGCCACAAACAAGAAAAGCCAGAAAAATATAACTAGCAGAATCCGTGAAAGCCCAATACAGTAAAATGGAAAACAACATCAAAGTCCATAAATCAGAAAATATCAAAAGATATCAGATTGCTAAAAAATCCCAAGACAAATACAGAACGTAAGCAGGCTTGTTACAAAAAAAAAAACTCAGTTCAATCCATCAATTGCAAAACCCTAAGTTTCTCAGCAGTATTTAAGAAATTATTGGCACTGAATTCAAGGGGGATCCACTGTTCACAAACTCAAAAAAAATCTACGCAAGCTAAAAACCCTAGAGATGTGTCATCATCTTCCCTAACGTCAAACCCATCAGAAATCAAAAAATAAAAAACATTACTCACAGAAATCACAAAAATCGTAGCTACCATCACACAAAAACCTAAGATGTGTCATCATCTTCCCTAACGTCAAACCCTTCAGAAATTCGAAAAGAGAAGAAGAGGAAAAGATTTTGGAACACAGATTCAGAAGGATCTCATCGGAAAAGTCTAATAAGGAGAGATACATCGTTATCGTCACTGTCTTCCTACATCAACCCTCAATCACGCTTCAAAAAGGCCGATTTCAGTGTCACATAGCCCAAATCCTTCATCATCGCTTTGATTCAACAGTTTCTCTGCAATTTGTAAAACTAGGTTTCAGTTTTCCCTCTCAAGATCTAGGAGAGATCTTCTGTTTTCTACGAATTCAAAGCATAAATTAGTAGTCAGAAGAGAAAGACGAAGCGAACAGTGTGGAAAAATTGAAGATCGAAGCCAAATCGAGACGTCTCCGCTGCCGTCCGACGATCTCCTTTGTGAGAGCGTGAAATTATCAGAGAACAAGAGAATCACAGAGCATGAGGGAGTATCATTTCCTTTATTTTTTTAAATGCTGAATTGACAATAATTTTATTAAAATCTATTTAATCTATTGATTAACACAGTGGTGACATTGTCACCACCTATTTAATTGTTTTATAGTTCTATGCAGATGCTCTGCCGGTCACACCATAGACCCTCACCCAGCATCGCTCAAATCGCCATCGAATCGTCTTCCCCAAAAATTGACGTTCCAGATCTCTATATCCACGGTGTACCTTCAGAAGCTAAAGCCACCAGATCCAGAAGATCATGTGCGCCGCATCTCTTGCCTACCATGCACCCTCGCTTCTCATCAGCCATCAGATCTCTCCACATATGATCTAATGCCCATAAACATGCAGTCCCCGCTACACCTCCTGGAGCTACCCACGATGGATCCGCGATTTCCCTCCTCTTGGGCCTGGGCTCACCTCTTCTATTCACACCCCTGGATTGCTAATTTCAGGCACATGATTTCTTTTTCTTTATATTTTTGCATTATTTTGTTTATAATATCTATCAAATAAAATACACAAAAATATATATATTTTTAAATAATTAATTAAACTAAAAATATTATTTTGATATTATTAATTATTTTGGTTAATTAATATTATTAAATAAATTAATTTAGTTAGTTATTTAATTAATTTCGATTGGGTTGTATTGTTTGTTTATTTAGACTTTTAGTCGTATTGTCAATTCAATACATCACCATTCATAAACTTGTACCTTCATTCCCATATGGTTTGTAATAGCTTAGAATTTTATTTTCTTTGTTATTTCGTTATATGTTTTAATTAGTGCTATTATGCATATTTTGTTCAATTAAAACACATGGCCTCATCTTGGGCTCATCATCAATGAAAATGTATCCACATACACATGCATACTCGCACACATTTCATAGTTTAGTCTTGGGCTTTTCTACAACGATAACTATTCGATTGGTTGTTCCAATTGGTCGTTTAGAATACTAGCGTCACACTAGTCCCATTTTATAGGAGCATGCATATAGAAACTTTGTATGGGCTTTTGATTTTTACCTTATGCATTAAAGCAACTCTCTTCTCTCCCCTTGGTCCATATACCAAGAATTTTCTTAAAGGGTCTCATAGTTGAGTTTGGGCATGGCCATTCTCACGAGATTAATCAAGTTTTGCCCTTGATTAATCATAACCTGAATCAACCACTTTGGTCCATATACCAAGTATTTACATGCACAAAAGGGTCTCATGGTTGAGGGTAGGAGCACCTACTCTCACGAGATTTATCAAGTACACCCCTTGGTTAATCATAACCCGATTTAACTCCCCGACACCCGACACTCCATTTATCTTGTGGATATTTATCCTATGATTCGTGCAATCGATTGTCGATGCAACCCAGATATACCTAATTTATGGTTGAGGAGGTGTTTTGTAGAGTTTTTGTATCTCGTTCACTTTGAAGAGGCAACATACCTACTCTGTTAGGTATCATCGTGACTTCATTCTTCATTTCCTCATTTTAGTGCTTTTTAGAGATCATGTCAAGTAGGATTTTACCGTTTTCCTTGCCATGTCAAGCAAGAATAGAGATGCATGAATGGGACCTCCGTTGTTGATATCTGTCAGGAATCCCTCTAGTTTATTTAAAGACCTGTTTAAGGAAATTCCACATATGTGCCTTGTTTGCTACTTGTGTTTGTTTAAAACCCTACCTTTGAAGCAGGTATTTTGCAGGTGTGTTTACATTTGTGCTTGCATATCCCCCACCCCAATAAGTCCTTAAAAGGAGGCGCGCGGAAAGGATTCGTAATCGAACCCCGCATATTCTAGTCCGTGTTATCCTGGACTCATGTTGTATGTTGACACTTCAGAGTTATGCAGATCTTATGTATCGAGTCATCAAGTGGAAAAGGGTTTCGTAATCAAACCCCCACACTTTGTCAGGAGTTCGCAATAGCCATTGGTGATACTTTACTACCCGCTTGTTTTCTTTGGGTGATCTGCTCCCCTTAGCTAAAGTAATGCTTTTCTCTTTTTATTTCATCTCAATATCCCGCTTGGTTTCTTCGGGTGATCCGCTCCGCTTAGCTAAAGCATTTTCTCTTCATACCCCCCATCCCCTGAATCAGTATACCCTGATTGCGTGCTTTTGCCAAAGCACTTATTTGATATGCCATGCTCCCTTAGAATTTCTCGTGTAGGATTAGTCCTCGAGCTAGACATTAGGATATCTATCCATGTATATTAACTTAGGTAGATATTTCCTTTTCTTCCTTGACGTAGGGCCATCATTGCATGATTACACTAGGGCTAGAGATTAAGATAGTCTCCCTTAGTTGTTTTCTTTGCATATTGCACCTTAAAACAAAAAAAAATTCTTTTCTTGGAAAATTATAAAACATCTCTAATGAACTTAAATCCTTCTTCAAGGTAAAAAATACAAACCAATCTTAATTGTTTGTGCATCTTTTGGCTTTGTTTTAAACCTTGTTAAGTTGACATCTTTCCGCCTTTACCATGATATTTTGCTATCTTTGTGTCGATGTTTTGCCATCGCGTATGTTTGTTATCCTACTTTGATTTTTAATATAATTGTTAGGTGTGATGTTTTATCATCTAAATTGTAATGTTTTGCCATCCTTGCCATGGTATTTTGCTATCTTTGTGTCGATGTTTCGCCATCGTGTATGTTTATTATCCTACTTTTATTTTCAATATCATTGTTAAGTGTGATATTTTATCATCTAAGTTGTAATGTTTTTCTATCCTTGCCATAATATTTTGCTATCTTTGTGTTGATGTTTCGCCATCGTGTATGTTTGTTATCCTACTTTGATTTTCAATGTCATTGTTAGGTGTGATGTTTTATCATCTAAATTGTGATGTTTTGCCATCATTATTGATGTTATGCCATCATTTTTGACGCTTTGCCTTTGTTATTGATGTTCTTCCATTATTGTTAATGTTTTGCCATCATTGTCGTTGTCTTGCCACTTTTGTTGATGTTTTGTCATCATATCTGATGTTTTTCCATCTTGATTATTGCTTTTGTCTTTTAAACTAAAAACACAAATAAAATAAAACATGTGAGCCAAACTACGACGCTCTGATTCCCTAAAAGGGATACGTAGGCATCTGATGATGGGGCTCAGTCGAGCGACCTTTGTAATTATTTCCTTCTTTTCCCCGTGTTTCCTTTTTGCATGCATTCCCCTTTGCATATTTCTGTTTAGCTCTTAAGCTTTAGACATATATTATTTACACCCTTAGATTAGAACAGCAAGAGTGGACACCATAGAGTACTACGGGCGTGTGGGGTGCTAATACCTTCCCCTCACATAACATACTCCCTTACCCGGTCTCTAGGTCGAAAGACCGTGATTTCTACCTCTTCAGGTTTTCTCGATGTTCACCTTTCCCTTTCGGTGGGATAAAAGACGTTCGAGGGCGACTTTTTTGATTTTATATCCGATGACTGTTCGATCGGTTGTTTAAGCTGACGACTTCACTGGGGAATAAGTTGACCAAATGCTGGTCTATCCCGAAGTTGATCCTAACTCTTGCTTTCTTTTCATTGGGTGTTTATTTTTATGCTTTATAGCTTGTTTATTCATACATGTCTATGTGAGCATATATGTGCATTGCATTTTATCGCTTTCTGTGATGCAGTGGGAGAATTGACTTGAGTGTTTGCGTTTGTGTTCGCAAATGTTTCGGTTTAGCAAGAGTCACCACCGACTTTTTATTTTATCCAAAGTAAAGGTCAAAAAGCACAGGAAAGACCTTTGAGATGTTTTCTTGGGTTCGGGGGGTAGATTATGAAAAGGGAAGGTGCAAGCACCCTTTTCATCCATGGTTATCCATGGGCTCTTAGTTACTTGTTTTAGATCACTTGCTTTTGCTTTTCAATTGTTTGAAATGGTGCTTTTGTGTGTGGTTTTGAAAATATTTTGAAAAGAGTCCTTTGTCTAGGCAACCTTTGTAATAATTCTTGTTTGAATGTATACAAAAGTGTTTGTCTTTTGAAAAATGTTTCAATGTTTGAAAGTTTGTTTTGGGAAAATGTTTTGAGATGTGTTGTGATAGTTTGAAAATAGCAAGGATGTTTGCAAGTTTGATCAAGTAACTAGGAGCATCTACCTACCTACTCAAAAGTCTTTCCTACACATTTTTAACCCTTTGATATTGTTGTTTTACCATTGTATTTGGTAAACAACCTTGTGTTTGGATATTAAACGGGACAGGCGCGGGTCATCGTATGGACCATGATAGCAATTGTGCTAAGTATCTTAGCAAGTTTTTTGTTTGAGGGACTAGATCATTTTGTATAGGCAACTAAGATAGCATCATCGAGGGACTATGATCTTTTTGTTTTGATTTTTGTTTTGCCAAGATACTCAACATGCATACCATGGCCATTTTTTAAGGCAACAAGTGGATGAAACCCTAGGGGTTCTTGTGTGCATTGTGTTGTCAATTTACATGCATTTTATGTCTTGTATTAGGTCTAGCTATTTGTTTGATTTTGGATTTTTTTGCATACACCCCAAATTACTATAAAGTATATTTTAAAGTGATAAAAGTGCAGAAAGTAAATATCCTACGCTATTACAAATCATTAGGGGGATGGGGGTACATATTTATGAATGGGGATTTGCAAGTAAAACTAGATCCTAAGTTATTATTACAACCATATTGAAATGCATAATATAAGAAAGAAATGGACTTGTTTTAAAAGAATGTTTTTGTCTTAAGGAAATAAATCAAAAGGAAAATATTTCTATGTTTTTTTATGTTAATACATAAATAAAAAGATGAAAAGGAAAATAAATGCAAAGTAGGAATAGCGTTGCTGCAAGAAAAACAACTAGGATTAGAAGTTCTGAAGCCAAGAGCGCTGTGACTCAGCAGGAGACGTCCGAGGGATCAGAAGTTCTGGACTGGTAAACTTTGAGGTCCTGCAATAAACGTTAGAGGGAAAACACAGAGGTTCTGGGTGGTGTGTAGACAGTGAACCAAAAGTCTGAAGTTCTGTATTACACTAAACAATGAGCGAACGTCAGCAGTTCCGTGTATTTGACATGTAAGGGGAACTCAGAAGTTCTGTGTTGTTGTTAGAACCATGAGTGAATTATCAGAAGTTCAGTGTTGTTGTTAGAACAGTGAGTGAATTATCAGAAGTTCAGTGTTATGTTGAGCCAGTGAATAAACTTTAGCAGTTCAGTGTACTATCAGCATGTGAGAATCAAAAGTTCAGTGTGTGTTAATAGTGAGAAAAAATCATAAAAGTTTTGTGTGTTATCAGCATGTGAAAATCAGAAGTTCTATATTTCATTTCAAATCTTCTCTC